ATGAGGTCGGTTTCCAAGGCGTGAAGCAGACCTCCTGGTTCTTCTCTCCACTAACATTCTTGGGTGTTAGTCTTCCATTCTGTAACTTTATACTCCACAGATGAATGCAATCTTTCTATGTCTGTCCCTCTCTTTCTGACTTATTTCACTTAACATGACAATTTCCATGAAAACCTCTCTTATTCTTGCTTTAGGGAGTGAGAGTTCTGTGAACTTTTAATTTAAAGGGATTGAGTACGGTCTGAATAACACAGAAATTGCAACCAACCAAATCTGGGGATTTCCCAATCATTTTATTGAGGTAATTTTCCCAATTTTATACATGTATGCATTTATATATACTTAAGAAAGCTACACAATGTTCTAAGGCACTTGGAATTGTGCACAGTAAGGTATCCTATAATATTATACAACTAAATAAAGCATGATTTTGCTTTTTTAAATAAACAAACACCAATCAGAATTAAAAAAGATAATACATATTTTTCTTTCAGGTTACATAGTGGAATACACATACATATGTGTGTATACTTGTAGATATTTATACCCACATACTATAATACAGTACAGATCAAGAACACCAACAACAACAAAAAAGAAACTGTCATGTTAATCAGTGTACAGTTCCAGTTATTTACACTCACAGATATTATACCTGTGTAATATATAGAATTAGACCACTCACTGGAAACCAGGACCCACTCAGTCAGTTCTGATAATGATCACAGCTTACCACTCATATCAATTCAACCCAAAACTGTAAAAAACAAGAGAATGTCTATTGTCTTTCATTTAAAAAAATCAGTTACAAAAAAAAAGTAGTAAGTTTGAATTATAGTGGATTCTACATCTAATGAAACTGATGCAAATTATTTTGAACACATTGGCACATTTCTAAATCTCAGAGAAGATACTCTGAAAAACAAATAAAAATTAGTGCCTACATTTTAAGTTATAGCAGTGGTTTGACCCTATACTCATTCAGATTGGTTTTGAATGCTAGCATTGCAGTGGCGACGTCTTTTTTGGAGGCTCAGAAAAAAACAACAAAAGCATACAGTCTGGGAAAAGCCCCCCAAGTTGGCAAGTGGCACAAATATTATTGGCATTGTAATATACCATAAAATTGACCTGAGGGTGGCATGACATTCTGCCCCATTTACATCCTTCTATTCATTTGCTTTTTAAAATTTTTCATTTTTAGTTTTTGGGTTACACCAGGCTGTGCTCATGGATCATTCCTGGTGGACTTGGGGACCATATGAGGTGCCAAGATAGAACCCGGGTCATCTGCATGCAAGGCCTTACCTGCTGTGCTATATCTTTCTAGCCCCATTTATTCTTAAAAAACAAAAAACCCCAAAAAACCCTTGTGTTTAAAAGAGAATTCTTAAACACCATCTAAAAGTTCACAATGTAGCCACCTGTAGCAATTCTGAATTTCTTTGCCTTAAAAATAGGAATTTCAATATATAAAAGCATTTATACAGCTAACTTAATTCCATCTACTAATTAGCCATGATTCATTCAAATAATTTCAAGATGTAGTTACCATTCAATTTTGGTGATAAACAGTGACAGAATAAGTATATTTATAAATTCTTAGTATAATTTAAAGGTTTTGTTTGGTAAAACTCATCATGTTCTGTGATTGACCATCACTGAATTATTAACAGTATGCATGAAATCCATGGTTAATCCACATCTCCTTCATAATTTAATATTCACAAACCTACTCAGTAAGGTGAATGGTATGATGACACTAGAGGATTCAAACATTTGCATATAGATTAAATATATCTTGACAGTATAAACAAGTGACTGTTTTGGAACTTATGCAATGCAGCCTATCCAGTGAAATCAAGTAGTGATTACCACTGACCACATTTTACTTCTATGCATTGTTCACTATGTTTACGATTAAGCCATGTACCAACCCTCACAACTAAGACGAAGATCATCACCAAGAGCATAATTCAAGTAAAATTGTGAGGTCAGGGGAAAAAATGCTTTCTGTAAAACCTCTCCATTATGTCCAGTCCTCCTGGCAACTGCCATGGTGGCCCAGATACCACCTCCCTGAAGAACTGGCATTTGACAGCTGCATGGAAGCAGGAATCTTGTAAAACCAAGTGGAAGAAAAGATTCCCACAGAAATGCAAAATGATGTTTGAGAGAGGCACTTTTTCCCGTAAGCTGTCAAACTGCAGTACACAGTGGAATTCAATAGTGGTGGTCCAAGCCCTCTGAGGAGACGTCTGGAAAAAGTAGAGGGCTTTTACTTCTGTCTTCCACCATGGCTGGGGAGGCTACCGGTATCTAGTTATGACTTTGAGACATCTTACAATGTGGCAGACATTTCTGTACAGTTCCAAATGTCAACAGTATCTCTAATGAGAAGCAGTGATGAACAGTGCTTTTGCTCCTGTGTGCAGCTATGACAAGCTAAAAGATATATATGAGTGCAATAAATCCATGCTAGGATAAATCTATGCTAAGCTAAAAATGACTCATGCTTAGAACACCGGCTTTCCAGGGAAACAGCTGCCATAGGGTCTTCTTTCTTGTTTTATTTATTTATTTTTGAGGCAAACCTGGTGATGCTTGGGCGCTATGCTGACTGCTCAGGGGTCATTCTCAGCAGTTGGGGGGCATGATCACATGCCTCACACATACAAAGTATGTGCACTAGCTCTTTGCACCTTCCAATCTCTACTCTCCCACCTTCAGAGCACATACAACGGACTAACAAATTTTGGGTTAACTCTTTTTGAGAAAGTTTATGTCGGCTCTATTAGCTGTTTTCTAGTTTGCATTTCTCTAAAAGCTGAAAACTTAATGATTACAAAAAGAAAACAGAGCCGGAGCGTTAGTATAGCAGGTAGGGCGCTCGCCCTGCACATGGCCGACCCAGGTTTGATCGCTAGCATCCCATGTGGTCCCCTGAGCACTACTAGGAGTAATTTCTGAGTGCAGAGCCAGGAGTAACCCCTGAGTATTGCTGGAATGCCCTCCTGTCTCCCTTGTCCCCTGCCCCCCACCCGGCCCACAAAAAGAACAGAAAGTGAATATGAAAATGATTTGGAATCATCCCGCCTTTGACCCTACTGCCCTTTGGTCACTGTCAGATTCTAGTCAATCTTTGTGCTGCTCTTTGACATTTGGCTTTTCAGTGTCTAGGGATCTCTTGGAAACAGGATCCTGTTAACCTGATGATTATTTTTGCCACTGTAGTAATCAGAGTTCAGTTCTAAAGTTTCTCCTGCTTTGCCAAATGAAACAGGGTGATCTATCTTACTAATAAGCAGAACGGAAAATACTCAAGAGTGAAAGATTAGCCATTTTGCCACTATAAAGAACTCAAGAGAACTTTGTAAATAAATTGCATCTAAGTGGTTTCTCTGGGCTCACAACAGACTCTAGTGACACTGAGAAGTTCATTCTTATTTCAAGGTAGTTAAGGTTGGGGGCAATAATATGACTGAAATTAGAGATGCTTAAGCACTGATGACATTAATATATTTAGAATTTTATATATATGTCACATATTTTGTAACAGTTTCATTCCTGCTCCAAGGGAGATTCCATACTCTGAAATATACTGTTGGAATCACTTAAGCAATAACAGTTTTGAAGAAGAAAATCAAGCTTTTATCAATGTAAAAAATTTACAATAGTGAAAAAACTAGCACAGCGGTAGGGCGTTTGCCTTGCACGCAGCCAACATGGCCTACCCGAGTTCGATTCCTCTGCCCCTCGGAGAACCCGGCAGGCTACTGAGAGTATCTCGCCCGAACGGCAGAGCCTGGCAAGCCGCCCGTGATGTATTCGATATGCCAAACACAGTAACAACAAATCTCCAATGGAGACGTTACTGGGCCCGCTCGAGCAAATTGATGAACAACGGGAGGGCCTTTACCTTTTTACCTTTATGGTAGTAGGGAAGACCTCCTTTTTTATTATGAGTACAGTATGATTTTTGAAAGTTGTGTCTGACTCAAACTGTAAGTACAATGTCTGTTACATGTTAAAACACAGTTCCTACCAAAATATGCAGAGCTAATGAAGATTTTTCTGTTTGAAGTGTAAACTATTATAAATTTGTTTAAATGCCAATGCGGAACTGAACTAATTGAAGGGGGTAAAACCTATTTCTGAACTTTCTACTAACAGATGATACTTACTAACACTGGCAAAAGGTAAGTGATTACAGTCTTTTTTCTAATAAACGTGAAAATATAACTAGAAAGTCTGTTTTTCTGAGTAAATCAGAGACAGTGATGAGTTTGCTTTTTCCTCCTAGTCAAATATTCTGCATGATTCTCTGAATATATACATTTCATTTAAATAATTTAAGGAATTAACATAAAAATGTTGAATATTTTAAAAAGACAACATACTTCATACATATAGGAAATTATCAGACAAGGCCATACTAAATGAATGCTCATCACCGGGGACTTAATCTCATCAGACTGGATTAAGATTAACAATCGAAAGATGCTGATAAAACCAATTATATGTGTTTTCTACCTTTATATTACTTTCTTCATTTTAAGGAAGACATAAATGAGCCTTTTTTTCCCTTGCTCTGGACTTTCCTGGAGATGGGTTTTTTTTTTCCCCTTCAATTATATCTTGGGAACTAAGGAAAACCTACTCATTTCCACTGTGTCAGTCTAATGTCATTCCTTAAACAGGGAATAACTAAGAGTTGTTATTACAACCCAACTCACACACATTCATTTTCTTTATGGAACCTCAACATATTGACTGGCAGACAGCAAGGGCAGGACTGTATGTAGGGCAGGCCCGTTTTATGTGTACTTTTAGGGCAGCCAGCTGAGAGCCTACTGACTGGACAATGTGTGGTGCTTTGTGCAGTGTTTCACCTTTTAAAACTACCTACTAGAATTGAGCCTTATTCTGGAACATACAGTTTTAGCTCAGAATTCCATATGCTTCCCATGACAACAGATTCTAATTAATTCATTAGTGGTTTAAATTCTTAAATATTAGCCAACTGGTCAGGTTTTCTTTTTTTTTTTTTTATTTCTCAGCCTCTCTTAATATTCTCTAATCTTAAGTCAATCATTATGAAAAAAAAGTGTGGGCAGTTCATTAATCTGAAATATATGAGGGATGCAACAGCCCCAGTATAATCAAGGCTCAAGGTTCTCGTTTTTGTATGGGGTGAAGTTCACTGTCAGAAATAAATAAACAGCATCATGTAAACCTCTAATGGGAAAAAATTATTCCTTTTACCACCAAATACAGACTTTCTAGGATATGTACTTTGAGTGAGAAAATGATGATAATATTTTATATGACTTATGACTATAAATGAAAGGAGGGTAAAGATTTTAAGTATGGGAAATTAAAAGAAAGATGACATCCCATGGGATTTTCCCCAGACACTAAAATTATAATAAAATATTATGGAAAAGGAAAGCATGACTTTGACAAAAAAAATTTGAATATAGGTTGATGGCTGGATTTAGACATTATACAATGGACAAATCTTCAGAAAGACATAGGCATGCAGAAAAAAATTTTTCAAAGCCATAATGTGCCATATTCCACTGATGAAATGACAATAGTGCAATCAGGTTTATCAATTAATACACAGTCGAGTGAAGCTAGAGTTGCAATGATAACAGCTACTTTTCTTAGGCATTAAACTACTGGCTTTTTGTAATAGGCCAACTGGGCTTTATTTCCAAACAAAATCACCCAAATCAAGTGGTTCTTTAAAATATAAATGATTGACAAACTTATCTGTCAGACTCAGCTTTTTCAGCCGAAATTGGAAAAGAGTCTTTCACATAATGAAACCAGAATCATTTCAGAAAATTCTTGCCCAGTTTCTCAGGATAAAATAATGTCTATATAAGTCTTGTTGTGTTATTATATATTTCATTCTTTTTAAAAAGGGTACAACAATCATGAAAGAACAATGAAAGATAAGGTATTATTTACATTTGGTCATATGTACTTGGGAAGAAAATGTGCCCATGACTTCATGGAAAATCGCAAGATGATAATGAAAATAAGGGGTTTCTTATCACTCTTTTAAGTTTCTGTGCCGATGATCAAAAGCTGGGCCTTACACATGAAAGGCAAGTGTTCTACCTCTGAGCCACATTCCTGGCCAATGAAAGGTTTCTTAATGTAAACAATGCTCACTGTAGGCATATAGGAAAACCTTCAGTGAATCTAATCTCATCAATCCTTTCGCACTGGAAGTCATCATTATATTTATGGGCAATCAGTGGATTTTTGAAAAACAAGATGAGGTTTTCCTCACAAGCAACTTAGCAGAAATTTCCTTCTAAGTCTTTGGGTGAGGTTTTCTTTTTCTTTTTTTCTTTTTAATCCATGTACTTAATTTGTTTAAATAGCAGCAACCCAACTTAATGCAGTCATGAAAATAAGTAGTCCTTTGTATTCCAACTCAGAACTGCAAGCAACACACTTGGTTGTTATGCCGTACTCAGTTCTAACATTCTCTAAGTTCTAATGGGCTTCAGATTTTTGGGAAGATGTCATGATTTTTGCTATGATTGTTCTTAGATCAAGTTGAATTCTTTTGACTTTGGAGATAAAGAGGGGAAGGCCAAAAGACTTAATTTTAAGCCTTGCTACAATTATAAAGTCATATTAGATCTAACTTTATTCCCAGTCCTGTTGGTGCACTACGGAGTATTTAAAGAATATAAAGTGTATACAGCTATGCCGTTTAAAGCATGCAACGAAATTTGGGTAAGCATGCTTGTTAAAAGTTAGAAGTAGCTTCGTGTATTTGAGGGAAAAGATGCACAAAAATATGCAAGACTTATTTCTGGCAACTGGATTCACTGGCACAACATAAAAAATAATGGTACCACACTGTACCGACAAAATGGTGAAAATAAGAATATTCCTCTACAACCGTGTCCTTAAGAAATCCTCATTGGGTGATTAAATCCCCAAATCTTTTACTCAGTTCTCCACTACCAAATGCCCACTTCAAAAAAATAACGTTTCTGCTCCCATTTCCTCTATTCTTCATTAACATAATGAAATGTTTCTTAATCTCTTTAATTTTCAAATGCAGCCCTTTCTATTGCTCATCTTTCATTCCCTGGTTTTCTTTAACCCACACTCAAAAATGCAGCTTTCTGGTAGCAGGAAGCCAGCGACTGTCTCCTGTAGTGGCGTGTCTTCTCCGATTAAAGCTTCTGAAGAAGAATAACCAGTGTCACCATGGTGTCCCTCACCATCAATGTGTATACTGGACAGCAAGGGCCACCACAGCCTTCCCTTCGCTTGTGGCCCCGTTTGGGCTGTACAGGTGGGGAGCACTTTCCACACACTTCCTTCACCACAAGGTAAATGGAAACACACACATTTAAATCCCAGTGCAACATCAGGTTTTCAGGAAGTGAGGCTTCCCCCCAAGATGATCAGTCTTATGGCTCCAAAGTGTTTCCCACTTCATTATGGACGATGAAATCTGAAACAAGAAAACACAAAGGTTCAGTCTGGCAGTAGAGGTGCACACTTCGCATCCTATCCATCCATTAACATCTAGTTATGCTGATGCTACAAGGCAGTGGCAACCACCCCCAGCTACATCACCGCTATAAGCTACAATCCTACCAGAAGAAAGCTTCAAATGCTGCATTGGAAAGCAGTGTCAGATCTGCTAGAAAATATGCTAGTCATATCATCAGAGTCTCCTGCCCCCGTGCCTGGCTGTCCTCATCGGGGCCCCTTGGAGGGGGGAGGGTTGAGTCTCCCCTCGCCCCGAGCAGAGCACCAGCAGCTGAGGACCTCCAGAGCCACTCATGGTCATGCTGGGACCACTCTCCACATGTCCGGACAGGCCTCATGCATGAAAGATCTGGCAGAGGAACCCAGGCATGCGGGTCCCGGGGCTGAGATCTCCAAGTCTGCTCGGATTGGGACTGGGCCTTCTCCACCCAGACCCCCATCTTCCAGTAGGTAGGCGTCACACCCACCAGCTGCCGCCAGTGCCAGGTTGGTCTCATCAACGGCCAAGACGCAGAGACTATAAAACCCAGTTCCCGGAAGCACGCAGCTGCATTTGCAGCCACGCAACATCTTATTTTTTTCCTTTGGAGAATCTGGCAGACTACCAAAAGTATCCGGCCCTCACGGCAGAGTCTGGCAAACTTCCCGTGTCGTACTCAATATGCCAAATACCAGTAACAATGATGGGTCTCATTCTCCTAATCCTGAAAGAGCAATGAAATGGCTCTTTTAAAATCTCAGGGCTAGGAAGAAGGAGTCGTTACTGGTGCCTGCTCGAGGAAATCGATGAACAACAGGATGATCGTGATCATGATCGATCATCAGGGATATAAAACAACCAATACTTCAACCCACTAGTCATGAAGGTCATGCTTTGATTTTTAATAAGCAGAGATGTTCCAAACAGGATTTGGGTTTACTTAGTTTATACATCATGAAATGAAAACATCAACAATCACTTCAGCAGTTTCTGCCTCATCACTTTCCATGGAGGAGTTCAAATCTACTTTATTTCTTTTGGTGCTGAGGATCAAAACCAAAGGTCTCACACATGTACATTCTGGTCCCAAATCTACTATCTATACCTGAATCCTCAAATATCTGCTAAGCTTTTCCTTTTAAATGTTCCACACGGAACACACAGTGCCCATGAGTGTCTTAATGATCTTTTCTTGTACGCTTGCCTCTGCACTCTGCCTCCTTAACTAACCATCATACCTTTGAAAAATATTTTTAATTCAGACACCTCAGATTTCTCTCCTTCACCTTCATACTTCTTTGGTCACCAAGTCAGGCCTTGAGTGATGTGGTGAATCCATGAACACCCTCACTGCTGGTTACTACTTTAACTGAGTGATGTCCTTGATCTTGTTAGCTGGTTAATTCTGTTTTTTTTTTTTCAACTGAATCACCGTGAGATACAAAAACTTTCATGCTTGAGTTTCAGTCATACAATGATTGAACACAATTATCCCTCCACCAGTGCACATTTGCCACCACCAATGTCCCCAATGTAGCCTCCCCCACCCCCCCCGCCCACCCCGTTCCCCGCTTCCCAACCCTTCCCCTGCCTGTATGGCAGATAATTTTCCCCATACTCTCTCTCTACTTTTGGGCATTATGGTTTGCAATATAGATACTGAGAGGCTATCACATTTCGTCCTTTATCTACTTTCAGCACACATCTCCCATCCCGAATGATCCCTCCAACCATCACTGACTTAGTGATCCTTTCTCTATTCCAAGCTGGCTAATTCTAGCTCCCTCTATGAGAATTCTTGAAAGCTTCTAGCATTTATTGAAGCCCTAGATTTTGGAACGTGCCATTCCATAATACTGCAATCTTTCCCCTTTATTTTCCATCTATCTTTTGATATTCAAGATCAAGGTCAGAGTCCTGTTCTCTGGAAAGCCTCGTCAGACCCACTTCTTCCGGTTCTGCTTCTCCGAATCCACATTTCCACACCTCTATCAAGCATTTCAGTTTCCTTTATTGCATTTGTTGCTCATCTTCTCTAAGAATTCCATCTCTAATCCATTTTCCTGCTTCGGCTTGTAGATTCGCACATCAAATCTATGTTCCACATTGCCATTAGTCTTATTACCCAAATGATAATTTGGATTGGATAATCCCCGTTTTTATTCTCTTTTGTTAACAGCATACTGACTTATTCCCTAAAACCAAACCAAACCAAACCAAACCAAACCAAACCAAACCAAACCCCTTAAATTAGGAAATTAGGAAACAACCAGGTGAGAGCTGGGACCTTATCTGATATGGCAGAAATTTCCAGGGGCTAGAATAGACTCTGGCTTGCTCCATGCACTCAATAAATATTTGCTGAATGTACAAAGAACTGAGTGCATATATATATATATATATATATATATATATATATATATATATAGACGTTAAGAAAGTTACCTGACAACTCTTTCTAGAAACACTTCTATAAAACTATTCAACAAGACACCATAAAACTGTCACTGTCACTGTACTTCCCTTTATCAATTTGCCCGATATAACTTCTCCATTGTGACAATTGTTACTGTGTTTGGCATATCGAATACGTCATGGGTAGCTTGCCAGGCTTTGCCGTGCGGGTGAGATACTCTTGGTAGCTTGTCGGGCTCTCCGAGAGGGGCGGAGGAATCAAACTCAGGTCGGTCATGTTCGGCGCTTGCAAGGCAAATGCCCTACCCGCTGTGCTATCACTCCAGCCCACTGTAAAACTAATTACACTTAAATGTATGCTTAGGGAGGACAATCCATTTGGTAGGACATTCCATCAGGCTTTCTACGAAAAGGCAAATATGAGCTGGAAATGTTATTATTACATTTTCTCAAAAAAGCTTCTCATTGAACACCTCTTAAAACTTTTTTATAAAATGCAAAAGAAAGGCCCTCCCGTTGATCGTCAATTTGCTCGAGCGGGCCCAGTAACGTCTCCATTGGAGACTTTGTTGTTACTGTGTTTGGCATATCGAATACTCTCGGTAGCTTGCCGGGCTCTCCGAGAGGGGCGGAGGACTCGAACTCCGGTCGGCCATGTTGGCCGTTTGTAAGGCGAACGCCCTACCGCTGTGCCGGGCTGGAGCGATAGCACAGCGGGTAAGGCGTTTGCCTTGCAAGCAGCCAACATGGCCGACCCGAGTTCGATTCCTCCGCCCCTCTCGGAGAGCCCGGCAAGCTACCAAGAGTATCTCGCCCGCACGGCAGAGCCTGGCAAGCTCCCCGTGACGTATTTGATACGACAAACACAGTAACAACAAAGTCTCCAATGGAGATGTTACTGGGCCCACTCGAGCAAAAATGCAAAAGAAAGAGAAAATAATGATAGCTAACATCTACTAAATATTACTGTGAGACACAGGTCCTAGTGCTACCTATAGATTTACTGCATCGTTTAATCCTTGACAGAATTCTATGAGCAAGCTGGAGAGATAGATCAATGGGCTGAGTACTTTGTATGCAGGAGGTCTAGGTGTTGCATAGTTTTCTAAGTACCAACGGGTATGGCCCCAAAACAAATAATTTGATGAGACAAGTGCTTCAGTATTCCTTTGTACAGATGTGGAAACTGAGCCAGAGACTCACTAAATCAAGTGTCCAAAGCAGAGAGCTAGAAAGTGGAAGGCCTGAGGACCACCAGGTGTGGCATCCAAACCCAAACCAAACCCAAACCAACCAACCAAACAAAAAAAAAAAACCCAAAAGAAAACAAAACAAAATCCCACAACAATAACAACAACAACAATAGCAGCAGCGACAAGAAGAACATAAAAAACATAAAGACACTGATTAAAGATCCTGGACCTTTTGGTGGTTCAGGAGAAGTCCTGATACACATCAAAGCCATAAGAGTTAATGCTGGAGTGATAGCACAGTGGGTAAGGGGTTTGCCTTGCTCGAGGCTAACTCAGGTTCAATTCCCAGCATCCCATATGGTTCCCTGAGCACCATGAGTAGTAATTCCTGAGTGCAGAGCCAGGAGTAACCGCTGTGCATCGCTGGGTGTGACCCAGAAAGCAAAAAAAAAAAAAAAAAAAAAAAAAAAGAGAGAGAGAGAAAAAGAGTCGATGCTATTGTAAACATGTGACCCAAATGATGATAAGTAATTTTTTTTTTAAAGAAAGAAATTGGTTCAGGATACAAAGTGGAGAAAAAGTAAGAACCCTTAGGTGATTGGTGGAGGGACACTGACAATTGGTGGTGGATTTGGAGTTGGAACATTGAATGTCGGACACTGTTATTAAAAGCTTTGAAAATCGTGGTGCCTAAGTAAAATAAAATTAAACAGTAAAATAAACACACATTCTGTAAACACTAAGTTTCTGTCATTACAGCAAGTAAATGAAGCACTCCACAGAGCCTACTCTAAAGGATCTGCCTTCTTACACCTCCATGAGGACCCCTAATTTTTACTGTGACCTCAAGTGTAGTCAGCTTCCATTTTGATAAGTATATCTGAAAATGGAAAGAGTGGTTTGCTTTATCCATAAATCCATAGATGATAAAATAGTTCAAGATGGCCTAGAATTGCTTAAAACACATACATTTCAACATAAAACTGCATCAGGGAAAATTGGGAAGTAGAAAAAAGAAAAAAAACAACCCAAATCTCTGTTTTATGCCAATGATCCCAGGAGGCCCATTTTGACTCAAAGAATGTCAATTCAATGATTCAGTGCTTAATATGATAAGAAAATAATTTATTAGCTAATAAAAATCATATATGTGAAAGTCCTACATTGCATGCTAAAAAATGTCCTCATTTGCACAACTAAGCACTTATTTTTCAAAGTAATGCTCTTGCTTGGTTATAAATCTGAGACATGTTGACATTTAGCAAAAAATTGGAAAACAGACTACCCAGAAGTAGAGTCCAATTACCCATAATCATACCACCCAGCTGGAACCATTTTAAGGCTTAGAAGTAAAATTTGACCTTTCCTACA